TGGGGGGGGGGGGGGTTCGATAGAACCACCCCTTTTGCTGGGAAAAGGTACATGACGTTTTTATGGAAAAAGGTCCACTTTTTCAGAAAATGAACCCCCCTTTTGAAATTGCTGGCTACGGGCCTGTAGATGATCTACAATTTTCTGGAGGGGGGGGGGGTCAGGCACTTGCCTGAAAGTTGATTAAATCTTTAATGCATAAGTTTATTATGAAGAAAATTAAAAAGAACAGAATCAAATCAATCAATCAAATCAAATTTGTTAATCTTCTATAAAAATGTCAACTACTGATTAACTAAAAAGAAGCATTTGTTTATTTATTGATTGCCATCAGGAGTCAATTTTATAGAAAGACAGTTGGCAAACAGCACCTTGGCAAACAGGCAAAAATCATTCAATCTGTACACATGTATGTGTATGTATTATTATTATAGTTATTTAAATTTCATTGCTGAATATGTATATATAACTGATACAATTGTTTTTAGTATTGTTTTTTAAAGAAAGGATTATAGAGAAGCAATTGTTTATATTAAGCATGAACCTAAGCAAATTTCAAGAGCTTATAATTGCATTTACATCCAATCAAATTAATTGAAAAAGAGAGAGAGAGAGAGAGAGAGAGTTTAAATGAACAGTAAAGTTAAATGCAGTGCAAGTAAACTCTAGTAGTCTTATCTTCAAACTAAACACTACAAAAAAAGTGAATTAGTAAAGTTGATTCAGCACAAATAAAAATCGTAAGTCCAAATGTTACGTGCAGATTCATCACTCCTGCATCAAAATGTGCAAACATGTTAAAGTCAAATTTTCTCCGTTTATCAATTCACCTGAAAGGTTTCGGATGGTTCACTATGTGAAGCTCCATTGTTTTTGTTTTTGCTGTCGCAGCTTGCGTAGACTTTGACGTAGAAACAACAGATTCCCTCTTCTTTTCCTTCAAGGCAACACCGGAGCCAAAAGCCACGCCTGATTTCTTCGGAACTTTAACAGCAGGCGAGTGCGACTGATGCTGCTTGGTAACATGCGCATTCGGCAACGAGACTGTGGCCTTCCGCTGGGGCGATAACCCGCTTTTCCTGGCTACAAAACTACTCTTGGCTCTTTTTGGTGACTTCTTGCGAGGTTTGCAGTTTGGTTTATTGTTGTCGTCATCAACGTCCATCTTTTCTTCACCACCAAGTATTCCCATAGCTCTGGCCCTTGCAAGGACATCCTTGGCAGCTTCTTGTTTATCTTCAGCCTAAGAAAATGGAATGTCACATAAAACAAGGCAGCAAAGCTGTCAAATGTACAGACAAAGAACAGAAAATAAAGATGCAAATAAGTGAAAAATTAAATTTTCACAAAAAACTGTTAAATTGCCAGAAAAATTTACCAAACAGACTGCGTTGCCTATTGAAGCTGTATGTTAGACCCATGTTTTTTTCCTGTAAGTTTGAGAACAGTAAGNTCTGTACATAAAAATACCACTAAAGTACTAAATATTTCTTTTGTGTTTTAAAATATCATTTAGCAACAATACTGCGTTAACAGAAATCACCCAAGTATTTATTTTTATATATATAATACACATATATGGGAGCATTAAATTAAGTCATCCAATGTTAAGATTAAGTATTCATACATATGCCATCAGCAAAACTGCAAATCAAAACAAATAATAACATAAGCTGTTTAATTTTGTAAAACATAAGTCTCCATTACGGACATGAGATATCTGATATGCTTATTGCAATGCATTTCCATACCTCTCGTCCCACTACTGCACAAAAGCACCCTGTCATTTTTGGCGTCTTCTCAAACTTGAGAAACCGGTCTCTCACAGTGCGAGGACTCGACTCCAGGTCTTTCTCCACAATAGGAATGACTGGAGGAATGATCCTGAACTGACATTTACGGTTGTTGTTTTGTTGGTTGATTGTATTTATTGCGTGGATAGCTCTTGTGATGACATCGTCGTTCTCTCTGGACACTATGGAGTGTGTCGTATAGACCACCGCTTGTACTCGAGGAACTGAGAAAAAAAAAAATCACATGCATACATCATCTGGTGCCGCATCTTTTCTGATCATTATCATGAACTATGTCATATGTTAAACTTAGGAGAAAAATGTATGTCATCCTAAACACATGAAAAAGACTCTGTGATTGGTCAATATACTTACATCTCATGGCATGTCTGAGAGCAGCCCCATTATTGGCCATCATTTCTCCCATCCTGGAGATGTCCGTCTCTCCCACAGACAAGTTCTTCAAGATTGACATGTCTGGTAAAACAAATTTTTTTTTTAATGACCATTCAAAAATGATGTAGAATTACATTTTGAAAAATATGTGTATCAAAAAAATTTATATAATTTCATCTGATTTGAGACTTGTGAGGCAGGCAAAAATTATACAGTATATTTTAACTTTAAGTTTAAAATGTTCACTTTTTTATGAAAATTTTTAAAAATCGGATCAACCCTGTGACAAAACTAGCTTTTTTACATCTATCAGACTGATTTACTGGTGCATGTATGAATATATGTGGCAATGCCTGCCATTTTTCTTTTTACTTTAAAAATACAATTAGTTTATTTATCCACATATCAACCCACCAATCAAAACATCAATGGTTACATGTTAAAAAAGAGAAATTTATTTATTAAAAAAATTAATTTAATTTTTAAAAAAATTATTAAAAAAAAACAGCACCTACCTTCTCCTTCATTGACTATAAAGTCTACTGGGTTACTGATGCCAGACTTGCTGCACTTAGCTGTAACCAGGATGGCTTTCACATTCCTGAACCTCACATCATCTGGAGCTACACTGCTGAACTCTTCCATTATCAGCTTTACATCTGGGGGAGCCAGTCAAGGAATATACTCAGGGGCTGATCGAGGCCATCTTCTGGGCACTGCCAGGAGACATATCTTTAAATTTTTTTACTACTACAAAATTTAATTGATTTAAAAGCAACACTAAGCTGAAATGGTAAAATGTTTTACCAAATTGATTATATATGCTTTTTAAACATTTCAGAAATATTTCAGTTGGTAAATATCCTGTAATTTCATTACAAGTATAACAGGAAAACATGTAAGTTTGAAGTACCTTTACAGTATCATTACTCTAAGGTTTCCCTTTCCCCAAATACCAAACTTCTACCCCCCCCCCCCCCACCACACACACACACAGGATATCTAACATACACAATATCTATACCCTAATAAAAGGATACTGTTAGCACCTAGCTGCTTCAGTGTCTCCTTGACTTGAGCCAGGTGGTCATCTGACTGGACACCAAAGCCATATATTGTCCCGCAGGTCTCCTGGGTCAAACTTGACACATGGGCCAGGGTCAGTCCAGAGGTCACATTGGTTACTGCAATGTCATCACCTTCACTGACCACTGCCTTTATGGAGTGAGGACCCAGACAACTGGACTTGTCCTAAATTATATTATTAATAAATTATATGTGAAAAATGCTGTCAAATCTGACTTCTTATTTCAAATCCAAACACTTTTTTAAAAATCTGGATTTTCTATAAAAGTGAAAATCCTCTAATTGATAATTTAAAAGTAATTCTTCTACCAGAAAATGTTACATAGATCTAAAACTTTTGGAACAATTGTTTTCTGTAACAAAAATGAAAAAATTAAAGATGATTAAAACCAAAAAAGTTCACTTAATAAACAGTTCAATTCAACATAATTTTATAAGAAACACAAGGTTTACACTGATTTATACAAGAAAAAATTCTCAACCCATACCTGTACAACAATATGGCCACACTCCACTAGAGGATGCTGGGAAATTTCCTGACGTTTTTCAGCAGCAAAAGTCAGAACATTACTGCAGTGAACGTCTGCCCAGAACTGGTTGCCAACAATCTGCTCGTCTGCATCGAAGCTACGAAAGTGGAAGCCATCTTCTTTGAAATGCTCCACTACTGATTGCAGGCTGGAATAAATGTGAAACATAATTGTTCAAATATATGATTGCAAAAAGTCCTTTTTGTTAGTACTTTTTAAAAAAATGTCCTTATAGCCTGAAAAGGGGGCTTGTAATTTTTGTTTAGAATCTTGTCTGTTCTGCAGATATTCAGCCTAAGGAAACATAAAATAATTTTCAACATTTTTTAACTAGGATGAAATATCAAAATATTAATCTGTTTAAAAAGCCTACTCTGCAACCATAATGAATATTCAAAAGCATACCATTTTGAAGTCAAATATCATTTCATCAGTTAAGAATTCAAAATTAAATAAATACAAAAATAGTTTCCTAAAACAACACCTAAAAAAATCAATGAAACACACAATCAATGTAGTAGTAAAGTCTCTCATTTTTAGTTTCTGTGTGAAGAAAATTTTATTGCAAACAGTTACCTTGTTTTGAGCAGATTCACCCAGACAAACACAGGTAGATGTGAGCCTACTTCACTCTGTTCCTGTACAGCCGCTGGCAGCAAGCTCTCTATAGACAGAGCATTATACTTGATTCTGTTTCTGGCCAGTGAGGCATTTAATTTGGTTTTCACAGAGTACAAAGCCTGCTCTATCTCCGTGACGTGTGGGTCCAGCGTCTCGCCTGGAAGCGGCGTGCGTTGCTGGAATTTTCTGTTTTGGAAGTCGTTCAGGATGACCATGACCAAACCAAAGTCTTCCCTGAACTGAAAGAAAGGCAAATTAAGTGAGCAAAAATGTTCATTAGCTTGGTAGTTTTTAAGAGGGTCCTGGCAGCTATACCACCTACCGGTCAGTGAGTGTCAACATCTACTCACATCAGTTTAATGAAGGCCTACGTCCAGGTTTGGCCATAAGCTAACGGTATAAAAGTATTTTGGCTTGTGTTAGATAATTTTCATTTATGAATGCAAATTAAGGTTTAGTAACTCAAAACCCAAATATTTTTGAAAAATCTCCATCAGCATTACAATAATACTGAGATTTAAAATTTTGCTATTGTTATCTTTTTTTTTTTTTTTTTACAGCAAACTGAGGAATAGTTCTAAAGATTTTTTAATTCCTATTTGTGGTAAAGGATGCTGTAAGGATGGCTTATTCAATCTGTCCCTTTGGTGCTCTGCATATAACATTTGATTGTGGTAGATAAGAATGTGATGTTATGCCTCCATTGCTACTGGATGTGCTCTTGTTATTAAGCACGCTATAACTAAATTTTACCTTCACTCAATGATTTTACACCTGTGCTTAAAGCCAAACACAGCAACATGACCTCACAAATGACTTAATACAAAAATAATGATATAATTCTTTCATAGTACAGAAGGCAATAATTATTAGATTTCTATACTTGTTGCCTTACTAAATTTTTAGGATCAAAATGTGCAATATCCTCAAGTAATTTTCTATTCAACATTGATTTAACTCATAATTAATTCTCATAAAACTGAAAATATTTACCTCAGGGAACTGAGACATGACTGCACAATCATCCAAAAGGTCCTCCAGTAAATTTTGATCTGAAGGAAACAACATGAGAGATTCAGATTCTATATCCTATAATAATTCCAGTTGTTAATTCAACTGGACTACAGTTCAACATGTAGCATAAGCACTTGCACTTATTTTATTTGCACAATATTCTATTTTAAGTGTAAGTATGTCTATGTTGGTCTATAGACGAAAAAATGAGCCAAATGACTTTTTTTAACTTTTAAAAAGAGCATTGCTCATTAAAGAATGCTAAATGGTTCAAGTGAGAAAATCAATTAAGTTCTGAAAAGTGACAGGACAAAGGTAAAGAATGATAATAAGATGATAATCACATATACAAGATCTGTAAAACCTCTTTGTATTAGATGGCTAGATTAAAACCAAATAAATGTCAAAGCCACTGGATGCATTACTTGGTACAGAGATCTTCATGTAAGAACAGAAATATCTTAAATAACATCCAAATCTCAAGTGGCTTTTCTCACGAGACAAAAATCTTCCAACCAATCAAAGTTCAATTTAATCCTGCTGTTTTACAGACCTCGTCACCCACCAAGAAAACGGGGATAAAGTTAATCCCATTGTTGAACAGAACCCTCATGTCTGTCCATACACAACATGGTTTTGTTTTCTTTTAGATTTTTAAATTATTGAGACGTCCTATCGAATAGCAGAGACGCCTGGATACAATAGGATAGGACAGGAATCTTAAGCTTTCACCCTCTCGAATTAATCTCCCAATGACACTGTGTCAAGTTTAGGGTGACAAGAATATATAAACTTACTGGCGATTAAAACTGCACTGTGTGCCAATGTGAAAAGCAATATATATATTCTAAAATGTATGACAAAGAAAGGCATGTCAACTGTCTCATTTGATTTTTAAGTAAAGGTTCATGTCGGTATGACACAGCATAAATTTCCATCCATCATTTTCTCAAATATGCATTAAAACTTAAAAATACAAGTATCTTTAAAAATTCCCAATCTGAAAAAATATGAAACTTCGAAATCATGTAAACTCCCTTAGAACCAAACTGAGCTTTATCTTCAACATAAAATATCTGCAACACTGCCATGTCAATTACTTAAGTCATTTTAGTCACTTTTATCAACACATGCCATCCCCTTATTGTGGTGCTTTTATATCTCAAACTTTGCAAGCTAAACATAAAAGAAAAAAAAAAAACAGAATTTTGTCAACAGCAAGGCAGCTACAACTAAAAAACTATATAAAAGAGAGAACATAAGCAGACAAAAAAAAAAAAAAAAAGAAAACATGCCTATGCTGTTCCTGAGTGCCGGGCAATTTCAGCCAACAGCTCATATCTTAATCAAGAAGTTCTTCCACTCCTACAGTTCTAGGTGAGATTAATACCACTGTCGCTGCGATACACACACGAGATGAGGAGTTCAAGACTTAATTAACACAGTACTAAATTAAGCAAAACCTGCCAAGTAACTAATCTACTAAAACACTAAAGAGTATTGATATCAGTCTGCTTGACAGTTGCCATATAATTTTCTTTCACTGATGAATGCAAACAGCAGACCAAAGTTACGACACGACATTTGTTTTAGGCACCCAAGTCCTGACACACAACAAATTTTGAATACAAATCTTTAATTGTTAATTTTACAGTAGCTTTTGAATTTAATTAAAATTCTTAAAGTAACACAAAGAGTAATGAAATAAAATAAAACAATTTAATTTTTTTTAATCTATGGACCTTAACTATCATTTACGATATGATTATCTGATCAAGATTCAAACAAAAAGTGTGTATTATGTTGAAAAAAAAAAACATTAAAGGAGATAACATGCTATGCATACTAGTACCTGAAAGCTCATACAACAGGTGAAAAAAATAGAAAAATCCAATTATACTCACATTTCAAAGTAGCAAAAGACAGCTCAAATGTCAGTCGCTTCGTTTTCCCATCAGGAAAATCCAATTTAGGCACCTGCACCATTTTATTTTTATCAAGTTCTTCCTGCTTCTTTCTCAAATATGGATTGTCCTCTTTGACTGGGTGCTTCAGAGCATCGAATATTTTCCCAGCCAAGAGGAATACCTGGTGAGAATACCGACAGGGTTCTTTTCTGTTGAAATCATGAAAGGAGTACGGCCGTTTCTCGTCCATGTTCCGTTTCGGCGGAGAGATCCCCGAGGTGCTGGCGTGACGGCTGACAGCAGCAACACCGTACAGCCCGTGAGATCTGTCCAACTCCAGTATTGGCGGCATAATGACCTCTGACCTGTAAGAGAGATACACAGATAACAATACTGTTGATAGAACCAGCTAAGCACTTGACATTGTGTGTGTATACAGTAATGCTTGATGATTATGTTCCTGGTATGTCTGTTTGGTGTATGTATTGAATATACATATCACAGGTCCTAAAACTTGGACATTTCAGGGGTCCCTTTGGACATTTATCGTTAATCATGATTGACATCTTCTTATCACTGGATTGGTTGGGCAATAAATGTCTGTATCAACTTTGACACAAATTTAGCAACTGTAACAATTAAAAAAAAAAAAGAAAAAAAATAGTTTGTTAAAACCTTGCTCTGGGCCTATCGTGGGTATTATATATACAAAACACGTATCCCCCCTCCTTAGCCATGGAATTTTTCAAGAGTGTGCTTGCAAGATCAAGGCATTCTACGAAATATTAAAAGTGACGATTTATGATACTCATAACTGGAGCGCCAATGTGCAGAACCGCAAGTGTAAATACAAACTGGTGTTTACTTAATGACCACCTCTGTGTACATTACTGATTATTTACGCAACTGTTAATATCACATCACATCAGCAATGAATTTGTCTAAAAGCCCCGCCGAGTTAATCTTTTGTTTAAACTATCTGATAATACTTATGACAACAGAACGGAAATTTGACAAAATTATTTGAAAGTTACACTATTGAACTGTTAATCCCTTCAAGACATAATCCCTCTTTTTTTTTCAAGAATAATTCTAGTCTAAGTCTGACTCACAAACACACGCAAAAAACAGGTTAAAAAAAGCCTATTTACAGTTTTGCTGGTAATGCCTGTAATGGAAAAATTATTTTCAAAGATTCTTCACTTATCCAAAAATCAATCTGAAATAATCCTTTGTACATACATGATGAGTTAACAGTATATGGAACTTTGGCTTCTGGTCTCTACTGGAGTGGACACTACCAGTACTGGTCACTACCTGTCTTTACCCACCCACTCATCTGGCTATCCACAAGGCATTTACCAGCTTTAAGATAAACACTGAAAACCCCTTTGGAATGTAGATTAAGGAACCATCCATCCATATCACCATAACAATAACATTAGCGGACATTTACAGTGACAGAACAAATATTATACCTGCAGATTCGAAATTCTTGGAGAGCTGTGTGAATGTTGCCTGAATATTGATCCTGCCCCCCCCTTCCCTCCCCCTTTTAAATTCATTACATTTTAAGTCGGGAATCAACTGCCAAACACTACTACCAGTATGTAACTCGACAACTTGAATTTCTTTAAAGTTATTAAGTTCAATTCATGATTTTTGTTAAACTGAAAAAAAATGCTGGTAAAACAGAAAAGAGTTAATCAAAATTTTCTTCTTCATTTAAGTACCAGAAGAACTTAGTAACCAACACACACAAATACTGCAACACAAAAATGTAGCCTTGTAGTAAGAGTTATCTGTTAAGCCAAGCACCAAGTAATCATAAAGTAATTTTAGTTGATAACCTATTATACCCACCGTTTTGGCGAGAGAGTGTGTCAACAACCCAACCCTTGAAAACAGGTAAATACTTTGAGTCACTATGAAGAAGGAATTATGGCAGCTTTGCTTCTACTTTTCTGCCTTTTTCGTTTTGTCTTATCATAATGTAAATACAGGGGCAATTAAGGCAACCCACACTAAACACCTTTTGTATTCATAGAGTTAATTTGAGGAAAAAAGTCAAATCAACACAAACAGGTAAACAATAAATAACCCCCTAGAGGGAGGAAACCTTGTAAACATCTTTTGTGGAAGCTCAGACCTTTTCCGTGTGCTAAAAATAAATTCCTTTATAATTTCCTTTTTTGCGCAGTTACTTGGAACATTACATCCTGTTACTTATTTTAGATTTCTAAAAAATCAATTATCAGAAAAATGTTCCCATTCCTTATTTAAACCATTTTCAATTCTGAAAGGTTCTCCTTTTAACATTTTTTCTCATTATTACAAGTTCTGCTGTTGCTTTTATATTCCCACATTTCATATTTGATAAATAAATATTCTACTTCAAAGAGGACAAAATGAATCTAATAAAAACTGCTGATGCAGTTAGCTGTAGGAAATAAGAAATATCAATCACATCAACCACGAAATAAGTTTATATTCATCCTGTGTAAAAGGTATCATACATCTTAATATACCACATATCCTTTGCCCTGATAAGACCATAAACTGTATCATAAATTAAACTGAGGAAATCAAACAACTGATAACTTACTGATCTCAAGGCACACTTTTTGAAGGCAAGGTATTAGCTTATGGCAACCTTATTTTAAGATATACTGTCCATGATTTACCAACCAAATTTAACTTTCTTCAAGAAAATAGCAATGTTTTCTATTGGTGAAATGTTGCTCCACCCATACCTGTACTTGGATTCTGTTTTACCTTTATTTCTAAACATATGATTGGGAAAGATACATAAGAAATATTGAGACATCTTCATATGTAGATAGTATACCTTTATATGATTAAACCAGCTAGGTAATCAAGCCATTCATGATTCCAATAAATTGTTTCTAAACAAGTAATAAGAATCATATATATAAATAATACAAATTGGCGATGAAAATGTTCAAAGTCTTGTTTCCCAAAGGATGCCTCTTTCATTGTTGAAACTATAAAGCACTATATTAATTTTTAAAACTGTCTAATTTCAAGAATGCTTAAAAACTGACTGTATACAAAAAATCAAACAGAGCCAATATACTAAAGTACATTTATTAATCATAACAACAAAATATTGCAAATAGAAAATATCAATGAAGCTCCTTAATTCTCTCTCCATCATACTACATTTTCATTCAAAGACTCCCATCCGTAATCGATCATTTTTATTTTTAAACAACAATCTAAATATAACTCAAAACAACAATTTGAAAGCAGTCGGGCCGCAGGTTCTACAGTGCTCTCACATTTCACTTCAAAAGAGTCTTTCATACACACTACAATGCTCTCTTTTCATGAATAGTTAACACTAACAATGTATGACCTCTCCAGCCACAATGGCTGACCCAGATGAAGAGATTACAGAAAGTTGTTTACCAGTCTTATCTACTGTTACTAGGCACAGTAAACAGGTCTAGGAAAATGCATCATTTTTTACGTTTATACTCTTTAAAAATATTCAAAATAAAGATTTGGAGTCCTCGTTACAACAAAATTGGAAATAACTTATATAAATTTTAGGTAGCATTTTGTTATGAAAATGTACCTTGTATTTTCAATTGCCTGCACGGAAATCCTAAATATGCTAATGCCAGTGTTGAATAAAATCACATCAAAATTTATAAAATAGTTTTAAAACCTTGAGGCCACTTAACTGCTTAATATTTGTACATTTTTACATTAATTTATAAATAAAAATCCTCACCTTTTTCAAATCCTCAGAAATGAATGAATGAATGAAATACTCCAATGGCTTAAGAGTATTAATATCCAAAATTCAGCCTTATCGCATCTGGTATTGATAATCTGTTATTCTTCAAATTCCCAATCAAGAAATCAAGTAGTTTCCAATGATTTTCAAGTATGTTTCTTAAAAACTGTAATCTATGCTTCCAGGAAAATAATATCACTTCCTACTTTCGGTGACGCTCCCGGTGTACTGATTCAATGGGCCAGCATGCTACCCAATATATATCAGCTGTTTACAATCACAACAGTCAATCACACACTGGAGTACAGTGCACTATAGTATTTATTTACACTGGTGTACACCTTACTATGATTGATAGAATGGTGCGTCTATTCAGCGGCACAGTGTGATTTGTTAACCTATTGTCCCTAATGTGTACTCGCTTTTTAAAATAGTAACTAGCCCAGAAAAAAGCCTTTATGTGTTAACCAGTTATTCAAACACCACAAATGGGATTAGATCCACAATTTCGCATTAGGTGTTTACTAAAATAAACATAGCGCAGTATTTAAAACTGGCAAATATTTGTCTCCAGAAGAAATCCATGACGTTGTGTGTGAAGAACATTTTCAGCGGGGGCCTAAAATAAATTTATTTAAACTCAGATTGTCTGTGGACCTAGCACCTTTGGAGAAAGCAGGAAAAACAGGCACCTGGATGACTATTTACATTACCTGTTTGGACTGACACCACAAGAGACCTTCTATTGGTACACGACGTCAGAATTATATTGTTAAATAACAATATCAATTAAAGCACATAGCCCTAACTTTATAATAGGGAAATTGTAGATGTGTAGCTTTCTTTGACAGTTTGTCTTAACAACAACTTTTTTGTTGTGTTTATTTTTTTGCTTTTTTTTTTCAGACATCTGTGCATAAGCAAAATGTGTGAGTTGCCTTTCTGTTTTGCACAAGATCAAATCTGAAAATTTTCTGTGATTGTTAAATAACAATTTTATTTAAAGCACATAGCAATTACTTTATACTAGGGAAATTATAGATTTGCAGCTTTCTCTGACAGTTTGTCTTAACAACAACTTTTTTGTTGCGTTTATTTTTTCACTTTTTTTCCAGACATACATGCACAAATAAAATTTGAGAGCGATCTTTTTTGTTTTGCACAATGTCAGAACTGAACATTTTCTGTGATTGGAAAACGATCAAGAAGTCTGCATTGAAATTGCATGAAAATATCTTTAAATCATCATTAGAGTTGGACCCACTGTAGGTTTTAGTCTGATTCAAGTTACAACATAATCATGTACAATCTTTAAAAACCAACCAAATTAAAACAAGGATATTGAATTTGTACACTTGATGTTATTAAACTCATTTTTCTGAAATCATACCTGTACCAAATTTTAGTTTTGTTACTGATAGAACACTGCCAATTTTGTACTGGTGCAGGACTACCCACAAAAAGGCCCACATATTACATGTAGATAATATCAGCAACAATTTTTTAATTGATTTTTTTCTACCCTTATATCATTATTCAATTATTAAAAAAAAAAAACTTACAGAAACAGCACCTACATGTATTTTCGAGATTTTAGTACATAAAAATAGCACAATCTCAGAAAAACAATGTTCTAGAAATGTTACTGTCAGTTTAATCTCTTGTTCCAGTGCTGTAGGATGTTGAATGCCAACTTTCAAAATATCCTTCAAGACAAATTTACATGGACAGTAAGTGAATGTTAAGTCTATACATTTCCTGGGATATATATATATATATATATATATATATATATATATAGCAAAATGTGGCCAAAATAGGCATTATAACATATAGTGAAGGGGCAGTCAAGTCTCATTATGACCTGGCACCTACCAGTAATAGAACTCAAATTACTGTTTATCTCAGACAAATCGAAAGGATCAATGCATAATTTTTTCTATGGTATTAGTTAAAATTGCCATGAGCATTACCCAACTCTAATATCTTCATATAAATCTGACAAATTATCCCGTATCAAAGTATGTAAGTTATGAAGAAACTTACTGTAACTGTACAGTAACTTCAACCAGGACCCTAAGACATGCAAGAGATCTGATAATTCTGAACCACATTCTGCTCAGGGGTCACTGAAGATCAGCATATATTTACTTCAAAATTCAACCAACTTCAGAAAAAAAATTCTTCCCAGATTATAGCAACTTGACTCTAGTTGTCTTAACTTTAAAATGGGAAGTTAGAGCTTTAAAATGTTACGGAGAAAATTGCAAATTAAAAAAAAATACTTAATGTAACACTGAATTAATTAACTGAAAAAGCTGAATAGTTTAAAATTTAATTAAAAACAGAAATATAGATCTAAGTCTGCAGTTAATATAAATAATTCATAAAATCAGGTATTAAACTAAATATCAGATTAATCTCAAAAGGTGACATTAACACCCTTTAAGCAGGTGGCATATCTTGAAAAGACCGACTACCTCCTCAATTTTAATCAACAAAAGCAACTTTAAAGTTGTAAATATTAAAAAAGAAATACACATTTTAGCATGAAGCATTAACAAACAATTCCTAGAACAAGAAAGATAAGTAAAATTTCAAACCATAATATAAAACAAACTTCTGGAACTTGAATGTTTCTCACCTGTCCACTTCCATATTGAAACCAACAGCATTCAGCTGGATACGTTTCACCTGTCAGAAGTCCAATACAAAAGTATTAAAATGAGACACTGGCATGCGTGCCATTGACTTCTACACCCAAGTGCTATCCAACAAGTCCACAAGGGCCCTCAAATGTATGTATATCTTCACGTCTAATATTGACTTCTTTCTAACAACTCCCTTCCATACCGCAGGTCGCACAATGCCATATGCAGGCCTTTTGCTACAGCTTTTCTCTTAATAGATGTATATTTATAAAAACACCCACTTCAAAGAGAACTTCCCGCGTATGTCTACAATGGTTCTTAGACTGAGATTAAAAATGTCGTCTTTTATTGTTAGCATCAATGTGTCTATAGGCACAGATGCAACTGTTCTCTGGATGAAGATTAAAAAGCTCCAATAGTAAAGCACCCCATTGTTTCCCGGGCGGCCATCTACTTGAGTGTTTTACTTTTAGCTATTGATGTAATGGCATTATACACCTGTGTTAGCTTTCACATTCATCAAGACGCGAGACTTAGCAAAGTTATTTTCAGTCAGTCAATTGTTGGATAGATTTCATCACAATTTCCTTCGAGGCAGCACGTATCATTTTCAATGCTGCTTCCTGCTACATCCTTTCCATACACTTACTAGAAAGCATTGCAGGCCATGGACAGGGTTAGTTTCACAAAACTAGTTTTAAAATAAATTCTGGGAAGTGGATGATTTGGATGCAAAACTTAATACATTTAGACTGCTACAGAGAAGCCTGGACTGGTATTTAATATCTTTTCCCTCCTACCCCCCCCCCCCCCTCCCAAAAAAAAAAAAAAAAAA